TTAGTCCCCCCCCCCCCCCCCTTAAACATAAGTAGGCTACCAAGTAAATTAAAAACGCATTTCTCTCTTATTTTATTAAGCTATTATTATTATGTGTATTAATGTATAGGGTAAGATAAAAGCTCATCTAAACAGAAATGAACTGATTTTATTATATTTATTAATTTATTATATAGGAGTATTCTAGGTGCACTGTAAAAATCCATCTAGCCTAGCTACTTCATCTTTAAGAAATTTAGTTGCTGTGTTTTTAAAAAGTATAATCAAATTAGCTGTAGGCGAAATTATATTTAACAGCCCTGAAAAATGTCGTTGAATCTCGTATAGCCTAATTAAAAAAAAAAATTTAAAAATTGAAAATTGTTAAATTATTTTAGCGACTTAAAATAGCCTAATATAAAATAACATCGCTTAGGCTATTTACAATATATAGGGCTAAGGAGTAGCGTAGCCTTTTTGTTTCATTCCACATTGTTTACAGTTTGGAAAAGCTCTGCAGACTCATCGATACAGCTGTGCACCCCCGACCGAGCCGATCGGTGCAGATTGCGGCAGGAAGACGCGCCGCAGGAAAGTGGATGGGGGAGGCATTGTGCCAGAAGAGCCCGAGGCCCCCCGCCGCTTCCAGATCCAGAGTTGCGATGGCCGGCCATTAGCTGCCTTTCAGCACTGAACAATAAGTCGCAACCCTTTGATTCCGCCCCTACCCCCTCCTCTGAAACAAACACTCCACAAAGTTTCACTGACACTCTATCCCAAAGTCTCTTTCCAGCATAAACATCTAGGCCTACACATATGTATACTGGAGACATGTTGTTATTATCAGTGTTGGGGGTAACGCATTACAAGTAACGCGAGTTACGTAATCAGATTACTTTTTTCAAGTAACTAGTAAAGTAATGCATTACTTTTTAATTTACAAGAGAATATCTGAGTTACTTTTTCAAATAAGTAACGCAAGTTACTTTTTTTTTTTTTTACCAATTTATTGATTGACAGCTCTCCTGTCCCCATGTTGAGAGAAATCAGATGTTACTGTAGTTCTAAAATAAATATGAATATGCATTAATTCATCTCACTCACAAAACAACAAAAAACAATAGATTCAGTATTCCTCAAAATTAATAAAAATAATGCAACTCAGAATATGACGCAAACCTGCAATAATTAAATGTTAAACAACACAAATATCCTTTATGTATTTAATCTAATTCTATTTGCTTCTGACCTTCGATGATCCAGTTCAACC